GGCGTAGCGACAACAACTGTGATTACGTGGTTAAATCAGAATGGCCAGTTGCACTGAGGGATACAGGGCAAAATATAAGGGCATAACAGTTAAATCATAGCACATATCAGTGTGCAGTGTGTACTAGTGTTGTCAAAATATTCGGTACTTCGGTACCAAGTCGGTACTAAAAAAAATTAAACGTCACGGTACCAAGTCCCGGTGGTACCGAGTACCCAGTCAAACCCGGTTCTGGATGCGCATGCATGCACGAAGGGCGTGAAGTTGCGTCCGCTTCATGAAAGCGCTGAGACATGGCGACCGGCGGCGCTGCTGATGTGGTGTCTGTCTGTGTATATTAAACTGCAAAACGACTATTTAAATATGAACCCTTCACGTTCTGCTTGTCTCTGTGTGGATGAACGGCGCAGACGCGCGGTTTCATTAAACGTTACCTCACACACACACTGAAGCATGATCGAGTGACGCTCGCGCTGTTTTCAGTCTCTGCTGCCTTACGATATGATGACATGATTCATGATTCCATTCATCTCCGAAAGTCACTTCATGAGCATTTTACCGTTTCATTTGAGAAAAACTGTCGTCATATCATACACGCACAGAAACTCAAAGGTCTTCACGGCAACCCGTCAAAATAAAAGTTTGGTTTAACTTAAAGAAATTGACAGAAATAATTATATTAGGCTACTGTACAATAGATTTAACTACGTCTCCATTAATTCAAGATACTACTACTACTAATAATAATGTGTGCATAGAAGGTTGCTTATTTTTCACTTGACTTTTTTTATAAGCAATATTTCTCAATATCATCAATATTTTCGTTTAAACAGCATGTAGCCTTCAATCCTTTCATAAATTTACCCTCATAAATAATAAAGTCATTGAATTGAATTGAATTTAATATATATATATATATATATTTCAAATAGTTAAATAAATTATATAAAAAAAAATAGTTCAAACTGATTTTGCTGTGGTACCGAAATTGGTACCGAGAACCGTAACATTTTAATGGTATCGGTACCGACTACTGGAATTTTGGTACCGTGACATCCCTAGTGTGTACATAAACACAGCGTCAGTGGCGTAGCGACAACAACTGTGATTACGTGGTTAATAGAATAGCCAGTTGCACTGAGGGATACAGGGCAATATATAAGGATATAACAGTTAAACCATAGCACATATCAGTGTGCAGTGTGTACATAAACACAGCGTCAGTGGCGTAGCGACAACAACTGTGATTACGTGGTTAATAGAATAGCCAGTTGCACTGAGGGATACAGGGCAATATATAAGGGCATAACAGTTAAATCATAGCACAAATCAGTGTGCAGTGTGTACATAAACACAGCGTCAGTGGCGTAGCGACAACAACTGTGATTACGTGGTTAAATCAGAATAGCCAGTTGCACTGAGGGATACAGGGCAATATATAAGGATATAACAGTTAAACCATAGCACATATCAGTGTGCAGTGTGTACATAAACACAGCGTCAGTGGCATAGCGACAACAACTGTGGATACGTGGTAATCAGAATAGCCATTCGCACTGAAAGAAACAGGGCAATATATGACGGCACAAATCATAGCACATATCAGTGTGTAGTCTGAACATAAACACAGCGTCAGTGGCGTAGCGACAACAACTGTGGATACGTGGTTAAATCAGAATGGCCAGTTGCACTGAAGGATACAGGGCAGCCTGACGACATAAGCTGTAAGCTGTGCACCTCCATTACCAGAGCGGGGCGTCCTGACGCGGCGCTCTCCGTGGCCTGTGTCGCCACATTCCCGGTCCCGCCCTCTGCCAACGGTGAAGATCCGGTTCGTTACGGGTTCGAACCGTTTTGGCGGCTGTAGCCGAATTAGGCGGGACGAGGTGCCGACGAAGAGAGACATCGAGGAAGGCTGGACGTATAGAGATCAAAAGTTTCGGTTTAATGTCTGGCCGCGGCGCGACTAGATTTTATCTGCTGTGAGAGCTGGGATCGAACACGGGTCTCCCGTGCGACGGCTTTGGGGTTCGCCACTGAGCCACAGGGGGAAACAACCACTTTCGCGCCTTTAGACACAGAGCCATCGCCTTGCCTCGTCTCTCTGGATGCGTCTTCGCATGACCTACCATAGGACGTCGTGAAGACGGAATCTTTCTTGCAGTAGCCTGGCTGTTAGATACCGGGCTAAGTAAAAATAATAAAAGTATCCTTCCGACGAAGCCTATCGCGTCGAGTCCGTCTAGCGAGCCCGCGAAAAGGACCGGAGAGGCGACGGGCAGGTTAAAAATGTATCTGCTGCGAGAGCCGGGATCGAACACGGGTCTCTCGCGCGAAGGCTTCAGGTTCCGCCACAGGGGAGAACGACTGTCAACTCTTCTTTGGGCGTTAGACGGCCCACCAGCAGCCGCTGGCGGCAGTGGGCCTCATCCCTGCTGATGCCCGGAGTTTATGAGGGCGCGCACTGGTAGACCAGCACGTATGCCAGTCGTCCGTGAGTGCGGCCTCGGTAGATCCTTGTTTGGGTAGAGCGAGTCAATACCGCACATTTCTGGCATGTAGCAGCCATCGGATGCGGGGAGGAAACATGGTGAGTAACCTCTATTGCAACTTCTACGATGACTTCAGATAAGACTTCTAGCGTGAAGAAAGAGATTCTGACGTAATTGTCGCGCCCATGCTATTTTATACTGCCCGCGGACCGGTCAGCATTTGCATGTTTTGCGTCAATTGGCCAGCTGTCTCCAGCTGGCGTTATCCTATAAGATTTCAGTGAAAATGGAGAAGGGAGGAGTTCCCATATACGTCAGTATGACGTAATGTCGAAGTGACCGCCTTGAAAGGGAACTAACAACAGTTTAGCCTTGGTGAGAAGTGCAAATGCAGGGTGACCCTGAGCACATCGTCTGTGAACGCTTATCAGTCTATTCCACACATACAGGAAAAGTCTCTTCTCTTGTTATAAGACAATTCTGATAACATTTGAGTCTGCATTAAAAATGACCAGAAAAAAAAAAAGTATCAGGACTGTTTGTGCCATTGTTCACTACGGTGAATGTGATTTCACCAAGTACAACATGTTCCTGGATCTTTATTTTTCCTGGAACAACTTAAGATTTGAGTGACAAGTTTACAGTTGATGTCAAGTTTATGTTTACAAGGACTCGGTGCTTCTACATCACTGTTATTCACCTACCTTGATTTAGGTATAAGTTACGGGTAGGGGGGTAGGGATAGGGTTAATGTTTTCAGACAGGAACATGTCTTACGTGGCAAAATCACAGCACTTTAAAAATGCAGGGTTGTTTTAACCTAAATTTGGGTCAAATATGGACAAACCCAACTGTTGGGTTAAAAATTGTATTAAAAGATTTAACCCAACGGCTGGGTTTGTCCATATTTTACCCATATTTGGGTTGAAACAACCCAGCACAGCACCGTGAACCACCGTTGATGTTTGTACCAGACTGATCCTCAGTCATCTTCTAAGCCACAATTCTGAACTGTGAGGTCTTATTCTCAGCTGAAATATACATTAAAATAAACAATTACTTTCATTTACAGGCAGTTTAAAAGATTCACTCAAAAGTTGTGTAATTATTGTAATGGAAAAATGTGATTTTCATTGATTTTTAATAGCCATGTTAGAAAAGCTTGTATTTGAACAGGTATATAAATGTTTGTATACGTGCAGAGTAAGACAGGATGGGATAGCTGAAAAGGGACCTTCTGACCTCAGAGGTCAGGATACATCTAAATTTGTTGGTCCCAGTGTCAGAAGTAGTGATGAATAGGAACATGCGCAAAAGTGTGCCCAAGTTAGTGGAAAACTACTAGGAAAAGCAACAGCTGAAGGAGACCTTGGTAAAGAATATAAAAGGTGTCGCACAGCTCCTCCTCTGCCGGCAGGCTCTGAATGTCTCTATGACTTCTCTTACAAAATAAATTACTTTAAAAGACAATTTGACTCAGTGTCTCTTACGCAGTGATGATGTTCAAGAAATTTTTGCCACAACATTATTCACTCACCCTCATGTCAAAATGCTGAAAGAACTTTCTTTCTTCCCCCAATGCATTAATCATTTCAGCGTCTCCCATTTAAAACAAAAACAGTAGCAGGGACAGATTGCTTGTTTTCATAGACACACGTTTATTTGTCAAAAGCACGCTCTGTGCAGACAGATATCTGCCACATGGCAAATGCATTCAGAAAATTCTGCATACAAAACAAGGAATTCTACTGGATGTTAATAACTAGGTGCGGAAACATTCACTCCCTCTTGAGAACCTAAACACACAAGTTGCACCATAGGCATTACATATTTAAAACAGTAATATCCTATACTAAACCTAATCTAATATTGACAAACTATATAATTTGAAAGCTTACAATCTGTAGTTTTCATATTTGGTTCAGATTACAGAATAGCCGTAATCTATCAATTTGCAACAAGAATATTTTCATACTCCTAAGGCGTGTTAAAACCTTTATGTTGAAATAGTGCTGAACATAAAAATCATGACAGAATGGTCAAAGAAAAGAAAAATTATAGATTCACCACTTGTGATGTGGCAGCGAGCTATAACCCACATGCGTGTAGCTATAAAAACACGTTTTGAAGGTTTTCTGTCCGTATTCCAGCTGCATATGCGGTCAGCATCACACTGTTTAGTGTTTAGTGTGGCTGTTTATGGAAACTTTGAACTCTTTGAACTTAGTTAGGCTAGACATGCTCATTTGGAATGAAAAGAATAGCTAGGATTAAAAAACGCAGGCAAATATCACATTTCCACTAGGTTTAGTTTGACTCTCATGGAAATGCAAACTTCTAAAGAATAAAAACTAAGTTTTTAACCCGTATGTGATTGTTTAGGTTTCTAGCTCTCCGGTAGCCTATATTATAAACTATAGTTTAAAACATCGCCTATCAGCATGGACAGTAAGTTCATGTAAGCAGAAGCACGGAGTTACAAAACGCAGATCAAATCATTGTACCAACCTGCACAACGCAGAACGATCCAAAACAAGAGAAAACACGGCAGCATTCCTGATGATGATTACTTTAATCCAGTCAATCGTGTAAACAGGTCTGGTTTAATGGTGATGGAACGACAGCAAAAAAAGTAATTTTTCTTTTCAAAGAGAGGGAAACAAACGCAGCGACGTTGCAGGAACGCACTTTGAAGAGTCTGAATCCTACGGACCCCCTGGGACGTGGTGGTGGAAAAAAAATTAAGGTGGGAGAATTTTTTTTTTTTTTTATCTTTTGCGTTCCCTCGCAAAACTTTTACATTCCCCCAAGAAACTTTGCGTTCGTTCCCTCGCAAAACTTTTGCGTTCCCTGGCAAAGATATTTGCGTTCCCTCGCAAAGATATTTGTGAGGGACAAAACCTGTTGTGAGCTCGGACATACACTTCCTCCTGTTTAATGTCCCGCTGCAGGGGCGGATCTACAGGGGGGCAAGGGGGGGCAGGTGCCCCCCCTCTCTAGAGCCTTGCCCCCCCTGCTGCCCCCCTAACTTTGATGATCCAAAAACTGTACTTGTAAAAACAACCTGCCACTATGTCCACAAGCTTCTCAAAACAGTGAACTAAACAATACATTTACCAAAAGTGAACAATTTAATTTTTAATTTTAAATATATTATTAGCCCCTCCCCCCTGCGTCACTGATTCAAACGTGCAGAGCGGCGTTGGCGGCTCACACACACACACAGCGAGTCTGCTGCGGTGAGGTGGCCCTGCAACCCGACTGGAGAGAGTGAGCTTCCCCAGAGCCTCTGAAGGTGAAGTGAGTTTCCCCAGGTGTAGTTTAAACACACACGTTTAACTTAAAGTTACATTTGTAATGAATGTATTGTATACTAAAGACGATTCAGCATCAGCAAAAACAGCGCGTCTATTACGTTAGCCAAAATCAGCGGTCAATTCGCTCCCTCGTGATTTGTAAGAGCACTCTTCCCTTTGATTAGCCTAATTTTGATTTTAGTAAAGACAAGAACAGCTTAAGGCGAGACACAAAAACATCGGGGTTTTTTTCACTGGTTAATTTGAAGATTTTGGGCTATTTGTCTTCAATAACATGTCTTCTTTCAGACTTGTGGTGAAATTTTTTTTCCAAAAAAACACATTTAGGACTTTATTTTACTACACTTTGTCTATTTGCGTCAGTATTCTCCTAAATTCAACAGAAGTTGTCGTTCTAAATCAACATGTTGCTCCGCGATCGCTGCATGTCAATGTCATCACATACATCTCTGTTGGAAAGCTCTCTCTCTCCTGTACATTGTTGTCGTATCCAAATATGGTCATTTCCTTTTAATCAGCAACCAATCGTGAAAGTACAATGGGCATTTAACTCTAAAACCGAAATCTCATTGGCTGATGTCAATTTCTGACAACGTGATTCGTTCAGATGCATCACGTGACGTGCTCTGACATTTAGATATGCGTTTTTTACTGTTTTTCTGTTCAGTTGAAGGCCATAAATGCTGTGATTTAGGTGGTTTGTATTGTTGTTGCTAATGATTTGGTAAGATATTGTGTCTGTAAATAGTTGTTTCCACTAAAAAAAGTATGAATTTTTACATTACAAATCTTTAAATGCTGTTTTCTCAAAATTAGTTTTTTGTCATTCTCCAGTACAAATATCTCAGCCTGTGTAGCACCTATGTACACCAAACTTTCCAGTTATACACTTAGCAGTATTCTGAAGATATTTTCAGAGGGATTTGTTAATAAATCATTCCTAAAAACCTTTGTAGTGTGTAAGGGCATGATTAAACAATAACGTTAATCATTTAATAATGATTAAAAGTGTTTTTGTGTTTGTTTTGTTAAAGCAATTCACATATAGGGATTCCCATGTACCGTCTACCCCTGCCACCCTGCCAAGACCTCTTGCCACCCCTTTGCCCCCCCATATAAAATTTTCTAGATCCGCCACTGTCCCGCTGGCAGTGCTTCAGAGCTTGTTTGAACTTGGACTCAAATATAAAGAAATGCGGTCAGTGTTTAACTCAAGGAGTTCAGTAAAGTTGGCAATATATTCAAATAGGCTATTCGAACTTCCCGGGTCAATATTCTTTGAGCTAAACATTGTTAAAACACAAAGGACACCTATTTACAGTCAATCACAGTAACCTAGACAACGAGCTACAACCCAATTCTCCTCAAAACGAGGCTAAATGGATCTTTATGTGCAGGCGGCTGAGAGACAAGTCAAGAGACCATCTGCAAAGTGCAATATAACCCAAAAAACGACTACAGCATCAACTCGTATTCAAAAATAGTCATTAACTTCAATGTTACAAACTGTAGTGCCACCCAATTCAGCTTACACATCAATGGTGACCCACTGGTCATACTACACTGCTTTTGCACATTTTATATTATGACAACTATTCAATAACTTCACTGTAACACCAAATTGAGTTCACACATCACTGCTCTAATATTGGTTATACAAGTTACATTTACAGTTATGCATTTGGAAGACACTTTTATCCAAAGGTACACATTTACATTCTTATCAGTTCTTGCTTTTCCCTGGGAATCGAACCCATGACCTTGGCATTGCAAGCACCAACGCTCTAATGTTTGAGCTACAGGAAAGCTATGGCAAGTAATACGCTGATTTCACACAGCCGCCATTTTGAAATGGCTCTGGTCGGAAGTGTCGCCTTTAATCATAGGAGTCGCGAATGCGATGGCGTTTTGTTGTGTTTAATGTAGAAATTAGTTATTCTAAAAATGTATGTACATTTCTTTCATACTTTAGACTATATACAGTGAAATTCATTCATAAATAAAATAATTTTTTATAGGCCTATATAATTCAGAATGTAAAAAAAGAAGCAGGAACGAACTATATACATATCCATCCTATATTGGATATTAACATCCAATAGTGTAAATCGCGGCAGCAGCTTCAGGTTGGTAGTCCAAGGCATTGTTGTCTATCTGTACTTCCGGGGTTCTTCCCACCGGAGCCTCGCTTTCGATTTTTAAAATGGCGGCTGCGTGAAATCAGCGTACAGCACATAAAAAATAAGTAGGCCTAGGCCTATTATTTACACAAATTATATTGGTACTGTGCGCAGCTAACATAATAGTTACAACCTTTTGCATATAGCTTTTGCATTATATTTGCTTCCTGAATTTTGATGGCATTACACTGTATAACAGTGTGAAGTTATTTGATTTTATTTCATAATAAAAAATCATAACAATTATGCTTTTTTTATCAAACTACGTATTGTAGTAGGCTATAATCAGCAGGAGAGCGGTGATGTGTGAACTGAATTTGGTGACTGTAGCTACAGTGTGTCATAGTGAAGCTATAGAATGTTTAATAATATAAAATGTGCAGAAGGGTTTGGGGATTTGCACTTTGCAGACGGCCCCTTATTTGGACTTGTCTCAATCGGCTGTTGTTTAGAGATAAATTTATATTATAAAGCTCGTTTTGAGGAGAATTGGGTTGTAGCTCGTTGTCTAGGACAGGTTAACTGTGATTGTAAATAGGTGTCGTTTGTGTTTTAACAACGTTTAGCTCAAGAAGATTGATCCGGGAACTGCCAACTTCACTGAACTCCTTGAGTTGAGCACTGACCGCATTTCTTTATATTTGAGTCCAAGTTCAAACACTATGAAACGCTCCATTAACGTACGGAGCTCTGAAGCACTGCCAGCGGGACATTAAACAGGAAGTATATGTCCGAGCTCACAACAGGTTTTGCGTGGGAACGCAAATATCTTTGCGAGGGAACGCTATGTGGGGAGGCTGCAGACTTGGAGCCGGCAGATATAGGCCCTACGCCCCGGCAGTTTTACGACCCTGTTGTTCCTGATGCGTCAAGTAGAGGGATATACTCCGAAATAACATCATTAAATCAACGCTTACACATTAATAACCCGTCCATAGACTTGACAATTTTGTGTTTTTTGTTAATTTAAATATAAACGTTACAGTGTAGATCTGCACGGATTAAATTATCTCAGTTGGGCTTCACTCTCTTGAATTGAAAAATTAAAAATACACAGTTGGATCAACTATGTGTTATGACAAGTGATGCTATGACCTACTGCAGTTATAGGCCTATCCACCATAGGTTTTTATACACAGGAGACTGAGTGAAATATGTTTTTGATGAAACATAAAAAAATGAAACATTAAAAAAGTTAAAAAGGACATCCATGGTGAATTTAAACTTGTCCCTGTGTGTGTGTGTGTGTGTGTGTGTGTGTGTGTGTGTATTTCCTTAAGTAGCTAAAGCAAACACAGCTTTATGAGATCCAAGTTAAAGAGAAGTTGGTAAAGACAGAGTAGGCTATAGCCTAAAACCCACATTAAGTGCAAGCTATTTTAAGAAAAAAAATTATATTAAGATATAAATTAGATAATTTGATCATCTCATTTATAAGAAACAACTCAAACCAGAATCTACATTCAAACCATATGGTGAAAGTTTTTGATGTGTTTTAACGTATTTGAGTGAGTGTGCAGTTTAACTCTTTAGAGAGAGAGAGATTTACATACCTAAATGTGTCTTTTGTGTGTTCACACCATAGACTGTAAAAAAAGATACACATATTTCCATTATCTACTACTGTAATGTTGCTCTATAAACCATGTGGAGTATGTTTTAATGCAAGGAGTAAACAGAGTCTTACCAGAAGAGGCCAAGCTAAAGACAGGCAACAAAAGAGTAGAGAAGACTAGGGGCATCTAAACCTACACGTGGTTAGCTAAGTTTAAGCCAGATAGAACAAAAACCTGTCAAAATACATTCTGATATAGAAATGAATTGATACCTACACTAGATCTGGAGCTAATCGTTTATAAATAATAAATGTTGGATCATTGCTAAACAACAATAACTTTAGCAGATTATTTAACATACAAATGACAGAATCTATTTTTGTCAGATTTTCATTCTAACGATGTTAATCATGATTATACGGTATTATTACTTTGTCTTCTGGGCAAGTTTCATCTTCATAAAGACAGAACCATTCAATGTAATCCTGATTTTAGAATATTCTCCTCTGATATAAAGTCCCTTTTTTCTTCCTTTAAGAAAATGTCAAAACCTTTAAACTCAAAGGTTTCTAAAACAAATAATATCCTTGA